CCCCATATTTATATGTACGTAATATTACAGGTTACGAAAATAAGCAATACCGTACGGTAGAGTACGTGGTAAGGTTCTATATGTGTCGTATATATGCTACGGAAGAGATAGTGTGTCTTGGCCAATAGTTCGTAATAATCGTTAAGCTACTGTAGGGACTTTCAAATTCTTGAAACGAATCTTCAAAATATCAATATACCAGTACGTTGCTGTTTACATTTGAGTACTTGACTATATAACTTTCCCTTATACTCGCATTCTCAAATCGTACACACTATCTACTATACACACTACGCAATGCCTACTGTACAAGGTCGTGCTCGAGAAATAGAAAAAGACATCTATTTACTCTCGCAACACATACCTCTACTCTATTACGCGCAAGCAAGGGCAAAACACCAGGAAATATTAACGATCAAGTTGCTAAAATTTAATAAATCATTAAATCAATTACTAAATAATACCTAATTCAAAACTATGTTCCTTTAAACAATGCGTATAACAAGCACTAACACTGCACCAGGCAACCAATTCGTATACATGTATATAAAAGCTTAAACAGAGTAGCCAGGCAGTTCGCATAAGCAAACCTACCTGTCAAAGCACAAGGTGCGCACACAAAATGGCCGTGTAACGTCCCATGTCATATACTTGATGTTTATTACTCCAAAACACAGAGTTTCGTTTTTAAATTATAAAAAGCAAAAGCTCAGCGATCTTGAACCATAGTGCGGTATACCTGCTTCTGCAATCGCGTGACATATAACTTACTTCTTTTGAAACAAGCTACCGTCGCAAAACTCTAACTACCCTTGCAACCTCAAACAATCTTATAAAACTCTCATCTTACAAAATCAATTCGCATAAGTACACCAAAGAATGTGATTAATCAAAATTTTTAACATTCTTTACTGTGGATGTACACGAGAAATATGATACACAATTTTGACAGCAACTTGTACTTAACGTAAAATCTGAGAGATCAGCAGTTTTAACCATCAACTACTGTAAAATTATTGTACCACGACTGTGCTCGTGTCAGTCAAGGGTAATTAGGTTAGGCTCTGATTAGTCGTTCCGACTTTTTTTCTCAGTAGTGGCCTTTGAATAATTACAATGAAAAATAGCATAATTTTCTAACTTACTTCATTTATGATAGAAAAAAATTATTTATAAATAAAGTTAAGGTAGCACAAAATAAAGACGTATTTTTTAAAATCCAGAAAAATTATTTACAGTGATAAAAAAACTTTTTTAAAGTAAAAAAGTATTTTCCTTACTTTATTATTTTAATGTTCAGTTATTTAAATGGAGATTTTTTAATGTGTTTAGCAACATACGCTACACATAGAGACGTCAACTGGGTTACAGTCATCATTATTGTGGAATTAAAAGGACAAACTATTGACACTCACACAACTAATATTTATATTTTACGCTTTTATGAGTCGTATTTTCTAGTGACATTGATGCAGACCACCTAATATAAACGTACGCGTATAATTCTTTCATTAAATAAATCTCTTTAATAGATTAGTGTGGTGATTAAATTTTGTCACCTAATAGTTCCCAGCCCCACAAAATGCACATAGCTATGTTAATTGTTTTATTATCGTCAATGACTATTCACGTTATTCGATGAAGTTGATTGTAACCCAGTTGATGATTTCAAGTGTGGCTGAAACAATGACTCGATTTAATACTGCTAAATTATACCACAAAGTACATTTATTTGTATTGTAACAAATCACTTACGATTTTATCATTAATATCTCATCATCAGCAAATAGAACAATAACATCACAGTATTTAAAAAAAAAGTGCTATGTTTTTCTATGTTTGGCTTTGTTTATCTTCACACCTTGAGAGATAAAACTACTACTTCGTAGCACTGATGCTAGTTGCACATACGAAATATACGTGCTATACAGAAAAAAACGGTTAAGAAAACCACTTTTTCGAGAGCGGCCTCATACTTGCCAACATCGAGCTACTCTTGTAAAGAAATTTTTCTGAAGACATCAAAAGCGCTTCTAAAATATTTTAGGAACGAAGTAATTCCCATAACTAATTATTTAAATAATTTCAAAAGGTTTTTAAAAACGTATCAGAAACTTTTTTGAATTTTACTCTGCTTTGTGCTGTATACTTCACAGGGAAACGCACTGAATGATAAATATTATAATGTTAAAATTGATAAACGTTTACTGAGAGAGTATTATGCAACTATTTGCTTTTTGTATGAAAGTTATACTTATGTTATTCCATTATAAGGATATTTTACGTGAAAAACGTTACCATTAATGACTTAAAGTGTTTTTGTTTCTATGATACTAATAATAAGCAAAAAAAATTTAACAAACGCAAAACAAAAGAGTGTAAAAGTCAATTTTACTCTTCACTTTGTGATGTAAACAATAAGAGTGACACCACAGTAAGTGGTGGGGGGTGAATCCTACACATGATAATCGTCTGTTTTTTATGACAACGCGAGTGCCTTCAACTATTACTAATACTTCAGACATCACAATTAGTCATCTAGCAAAATAATTGATGAAGCGTAGGTTGAAATTTTACAACTAACCACATACAAATAGGTATCTATTGATAATTTCTCGGTTTGAATTTTTTAATGATACCTCCTTTGCAATATTTACGTTGTGACTCGAAATCCATACTCTAAAATTCCACAATTTAAAAGGTAACGTGTGTTGTGAAACACATTTTAATCTTCCATTGAAATAATTAATGTAATGAATATAAAATATTCAAATAATGAAGTAAGAAAATTACTTTTCTACTTTAAAAATTTTTTTTAATCACCGTAAACAATTTTTCTGTGTTTTAACTAATACGTCGTCGTTTCAGGCTGCCTTAATGTTATTCGTAAACAATTTCTTACATCTTAATTGAAAGTAATTATTGAATTATGTTATTATTTATTTTAAGTCTTCAGAGACCAGAATTAGAACTTTTCAACACGTTCATTTTGAACCAGAAAATGGGTAACTAAAATACCACAAAACTCAATGCACATTATTACAAAAAATTGTGATGAAAATTTATTACTTCCTTTCCTACGTACAATGCCTCAACTGTGAGCGTACTCCAAAATGATGTGTGTCAGCAGTTGTAATGTTGTTTAGTAACAATTTTCATTACAAGTTTCTAATTTCCAGTAAATGTGATTTGAAAGAATCAAGCTCTAATTTCCAGTGAAAACAAATTTTTTTTTCTAAATTACACTACTTTGAAATATAAGTTCACAAAATTTCATTTTACAATATTCATGTGTAATAACATTTTTTTTTTTTATTACTTGATAATCTGAAAAAATAGCTACTATATGCTGACGTTATACTTCGTTTCCAAGTCTGAATTTATCTCATAAGAAGCTTATGTTGAGTTGAAAAATAAAAATCATTTAAATAATCATTCGTAAAAGTATTTATTAAGATGCATACAACAGTATAAGACAACACTGCCGCTTGATAAACTTGGAAGGAGGCAATAGTGTTTCTAAAAACTTCTAGGTTTTTTGGTAAGAAATCACGTGGTATTACAAAACCACTTTGTTTTAAAAAAATCATGTAGACCTCTGACATAAACCTACTTGGTAAATCACGTGGTGAAACCGTGTAATTTACGACGTGGTAATTGAACATGGTTTCTTTTAATAGAGGAGACTTTGTTATTTTATAAAGAAGTAGAATTATATTTTAGGCCTCTCTAAAAATGAAATTAACTCAAACATTTAATGACTCGCGAAGTGTCATAAATATAAATTTCACTGGTTGATTCGCGCAACGCTAAATAGATTACTTAAGTAATGTGAGAGAACGAGAATTCAAATATTACAAACGTACACGAAGTCTTACGGATTAGCATGATGCAGTAGATTATGACTTCCCTTTGCAAATTTTTTACGTATTTTAAACCCCTATCTTTACTATTTTTTTTTTTTCTTTTTTCATCCAAATTTTTCTCTTATTTTCATAAGTATGCGAGTCTTTCATGTGAATCATTAGAAAAAAGTTTATCTTTGATGACTCGGTCATTCACCCTGTAGAGTACTATTTACAGGACGCAGAAATTGTCTCAAGCAAACTCTGACTTTTGTCAGGTTCAATGAATGGATCTCTACTGTTGAACATCCTAACTCACTGTACTAACCTTTTTAAAACTTATAGCGATTTCACCGATGAACTGGCTAAGTGTTAGATTTCTTTAGAAAAGAAGCGTCTGAAGGTTCAAATATTATCTGGGAAAATCCACTATTTGTCTTAAAAATCAGACAGTTAGTTTTTTCACATCCCGGATACTCATCCTATCGAAAAATATTAAAGAATAAATATCAGTATTTTTTAACAGGATTTTAATCCATAGCCCCTCGAGTTTCTTTAATAAAAAGGTTAAGGTGCAAATCACTAAACTACATTAGATACCTAAGACGAACATGCCATGACTAGTCAGGACTATCCTTTTTGTGTCACTAGTTTTTTTAAGCGAGTGAATAACATTTTGGAGGTAAAAGTTCTTAAAATACTTCTCGACAGTATAACTTTTACTGAGGTGTAATCTTCAAACACGTTTGTTGGGTAATAAGAGATTTATTTTGATAGACCTAGATTTTAATTTACATTAATTTTTTTGTTTTACTTTTAATATAAGTGACGAAAAGTTTTTAATGTTTTAAATAAAACACGTTCTTATGTAAATATTTTAAAGACTGAAAGACATGATATTATTAAATAATTTCTTTACAAAATTAAAATTTTTCTAATAATGCTAAGATATGTAAAATGTTATTATAATTCTGCTTTTTTTTTCTAAGTAAATTTTACTTTTTCAGATGATGCAAGAAATTGTACGTAGCTGTGTATCGGAGTAAATACGTTACAGATTCTAACCTGACTAGAATTGTATATACCTGTAACTTTCTACAACTTCATCAAATTTGAAGATCTTTTGAGAAAAAATAACTTAGAATCTCGTGTTAATCAAAATCTACGTAAAACTTTTTTTCTAAGATATTGTCTTCTGACGGTGGCGCCACGTGATTACATCATGGAGGAGTATAAAAACAAGTGCTGCATTCGAAAGTTTTTGGAAGAAATTGACTATAATGATATTAAAGTTGAAAAAATTGTAGGTAAAGGATCATTTGGGGTCGTATGGAAAGCTAAATGGAAAGGTCAATATGTTGCAGTAAAACATATAAATTCCGAGGATCAAAGAAAATCTTTTATGGTCGAAGTAAGTCAACTATCAAGGATTTCTCACCCTAATATAATAAAGTTGTATGGGGCATGTACGTCAGATCCGGTTTGTCTTGTAATGGAATATGCCGAAAGTGGTTCATTACACAATATTTTGCATTCAAATTTACGTTTACGTTACACTTCTGGACATGCTTTTAATTGGTCACTTCAATGTGCACAAGGTGTTGCCTACCTCCATAATATGAAACCAAAACCTTTAATTCACAGAGATTTGAAACCTTCCAATCTTCTGTTAGTTTTAGGTGGCAAAAGAGTAAAAATTTGTGATTTTGGAAGTGCGTGCGATTTAAATTCTTATATGACGAATAATAAAGGATCAGCAGCTTGGATGGCTCCAGAAGTATTTGAAAGTTCTAAGTACACAGAAAAATGTGATGTTTTCAGCTGGGGTATAATATTATGGGAAATTTTATCTCGAAGAAAACCCTTTGATAATATTAGAGGTTCAGCATATAGAGTAATGTGGGCTGTTCATACAGGAAAAAGACCACCGCTGTTGAAAGTATGTCCTAAACCTGTAGAAGATTTAATCCTAAAATGTTGGAGCAAGTTACCAGAAGTTCGGCCATCAATGAAAGAAGTTGTTATTATTATGTCCCACATAAAAGAATTTGTCAGTAAATATGTAGATCCAATTGAGCTTTTGTCATGTAGCAAAAAAGTTCAGTCTAACTGTTTAATCAATTGTCAAACCGGTAACAATCCCGACTTGAAAAAAACTTTAATTTCTCATAAACATCTCAGTAAATTAAAATTACTGAGTAACAAATCAGAAACAGTATCACAATTTATACATTATAAAGAAAAACACTTAAATTTAACTATATTTGATCAATTCGCATTATTACCTCATCACATAAATTCTTTCAAAACAATAAAAGAAGTTCTTTTAATATTGGTAGCGAAAACATTTCAAAACTGTTCAGATGTTCATCAAAAGAAATGAAAACTGTTCAAAAGACAATTTTGATGAACATTAAACCTTCGGAAATTATTGCTTCAAATTTAAATTTTAATAATTTTTTTAAGAGAGTCAAACAGGAACACTTTGACGTCAAGCTTCTCAATCTCCATGTTTGTTCTAAAGCATCAAAGAAAATTTACAATGATTGCAAACAAACTTTAAAAGGATATCTTCAAGCCCATACCGATATATCATCTCTTAAATATGTCAAACAAAAATTATTCAATCAATTAAATGCTGAAAACGTTAAAAAGTTACAAAAGGTAGAAAAATTAAGAAACGAAAACAGTCCTTAATAACTTTTTATAACAATCTTAGACATAAACTATCTGTTCTAAAAAAATTAGAATAAAATTGATCCTAATACTTCCTTATTATCAATTTAATGATTATTTTGTATGAAAACTACACACTTTTATTAATTAGAATGTTACTTGAATGATTATTTCCTATATGTCTTTACTTTTTCGTTTCATTTTTTCTTACCCCTCTTTTTTTTTTGTTTCCATATGCATATGATCTTTTATGTTGTAAGAGCCAAACGTGTATGTAACTCTGACTTATTTATTCGCTTGATCAGTCACACACTAGCTTGTTTTAGAAATTCAAGGTGATCGGTGATCTGTTGGGGGCGAGATATACGAAATAAATAAATACATAAAAGGTGTATTCAAATTTTCTATGTTATTTTATTAATGCAACGTTTCGCTGACCATTTGTGTAAGCCTCATCCGGCGTAGGTACACGAGAATTCGTAAGTATGTTAACTTACTCGTCACCTGTCGAACTATCGACTGACAATCAATAGACAATCAGTAGACAATAGACAATTAATTGTCAGTCGATAGTTTGACAGGTGACGAGTAAGTTAACATACTTACGAATTCTCGTGTACCTACGCCGGATGAGGCTTACACAAATGGTCAGCCAAACGTTGCATTAATAAAATAATATAGAGAATTTAAATACACCTTGTATGTATTTATTTATTTCGTGTATCTCAACTCCAACGGATCACCGATCACCTTGAATTTCTAAATCCATCGGAGGGCACTGACTAAATCTAAATAAATCTAGCTTGTTTTAGTTTAACTCCATTCTAGTTGCTCCAAGGATCCGAAAGTCGCACTTTGCGCCTTCTCGTATGATGTACACAATATTAAAAAGTAATCTAGTTTTATCGATGGTAAACATTAATACGAGTAATTAAATTAATTGATATTTCTCATCCAGTACGAGTTTGCCTTAGCCACTCATTTTTCTGATAAAATTACTCATTTGTAGAAAACTTGTCATACACAATGGCGAAATTGGTAACGCGTTTTTCCGGCAAGAAAGAGGTCCAGGTTCAAGGTCTGGTCGAGGGGGTATTTTTTTACAATTGCTGCATGTGATAATTTTTTTACGAATTAGTAGTTATAACTGTAAAATAATTTGTTTAGGTGAACTCGTATTTAATGGAAAACATCGATAACTTTAATTAATCGCATCAATACTTACCTATCGATAAAATTAGATAATTTTTTAATATTGTGTACATCATATGAGCAGGTGTTTTTTCACTGGAAGATTAAATGTAGCAATTAAGAAGAGATCTCGGGGACGATAATGGTAATGCGCTTTCTCATCAAGAAAGAGATCCTGCAGGTTCAAGACGTGGTTGAGGTGGAACTTTTTTTTAATTGCTGTGTATGACAATTTTTTTACAAATCAGATATTTTAACTAAAAAATGAGTTGCCTAGGCAAACTCGTATTATGTAGAAAATGCTGATAAATTTAATTGCTTGAAACAAAATAACTTATTTAATTAATTATGCAATGAACTGAAAAAGTTAGGAAATCATTAAATAGTAGGTTAGTGTCAAAAAATAATTAAGTTAAAAAATTGCAGCAAAAAAACTGTACCTAAAAAATTTGTATTTTTAAAGATGACGTTTTTGTTATAGAAAAACTTTTAATTTTTCAGTGTATGTGCGTGATAGGACAACACTTAACGAGAACAGACAACACCAAAAAATGTACAATGTTGAAAAACTGTAAACTGACAACTGTACGAAAACGCTTTTATCATAGAAATAGAAATTTTACGAATAAAAAATTTTGCTCCTGAAAAATATACGAAAGTTTGGGTGAAAAAAATGTCGTTATATAGTTAGAAGTTTGAAGGTTGCTTAAACTTAAAATTAAAATTAATAAAAAAACGCAATTTTTCACGGTTTTTTACGTTTAACTTCTTGCAAGAAGCAGTAATTGTTGTTGCTCAACACATCATTTGACAGGTAACACATGACTACAAAAAAAGAGACAAAGACGTGTCTATGTGTACACCATGTTTTTTGGATCACTGATCACGTTTCCCAGCTCAGAGTTACTTTATCAGGTCGTAGTTTTTGTTTCTAGCTTCAAATAATTCTAAATTTGATAATAAAAAAGTACGTTTGAAAGATATTACCACCAGTGTTAGCTGACTTCTATTGCTGCTGACAAATGTTTATAAATGAATAAGGAATGTACATGGTTGTAGGTGAAAAAAATTTAGTGCCAAATTTGTATTAGTAATACATGATAACAGAAATAAATTACTCAATTTTAAATGATAAAACATGTTAATTTTTCAAATTGCAATCGAAAATTTGCATTATAGAAACGAATTTTAATAGAAATAAAAACAGACATCCAAAACACAATATCGTAAAAAGATTTTTATTAAATAAATACATGGTCACCCAAAGTAAGGGATTTTATGCTTTAGTACAATTGGTACCAATTTGACTCATAAGATTTTTTTTCTTCAACTAATAATCGAAAATGCATCGTTTTGCAGCAGTCATGTAGTCATGTATGGTGTTGATTAATCGAATGTTGAAACAAAATTAAATAACAATATGTGTTGCAAGTTTTCAGAAAACGTCTTTGTCTTTATCATTATAACTTACTAGATAACTAATTTTTTTTATTTTTTAAAAGTGGTCAATAGATTTGTGTATTGTTACGTAGGGAAGATATTGGTAAGAGGGTGCTTCGCGAGAATGATCAACACTGATTCTTTCAAGAGCTTTATTCAAGATACCGAAATCATAGGCAAGGTAGCGCGTGTGGTCCCTACAAAGGCTCGTCATGTACTCCCCGAATAGACCCTCTCCTTGCTCGCTCTTCCCTTCCCTTGGCCCTAGGGCCCCTCGTTATGAGGTTTGAGGAGAGGAAGCGTAGAGTCTCACCTATCTTACCGTATGTTACACGTCCGAGGCTGTGACGTCGTTGTCCTCGACGACGCTGGCTTTTTAATTTATCCAGTATTGAGTCTGTATACTTGTTTTCGACTTTATGTGTGTGTGTGTTGTATTTTGTTGTCTATGTTGTTTATGTAGCTTAATCTTTCACACTCATCCTTCCATTCACCTGTAAAGAACAGCTGTTCTTTATACAATAATATTTTTGCTCTTTTAATTATTCATTTTTTTATTATCGTGTGTCGAGTGTATTACAATATTGTTTGCGTATGTGCTTTGCCTTGTATTACAATTATGTACAAAATTGCCGTGAGGTAGGCATTTGCTTAATACTACTTTACATGTGTTTCGCATGTGTTTATTTACAAAAAAAAAAATTCCGTACAACCTTCTTATTATAGTATAATTTAATAATTTACTAGTTGTCTTTTGGGGCAAACTTTCAAATAAAAAACACACAATTTGTTTTCTTTATGCAATACAGCAACGTTTCGTCGACTGGAGTGTCGACCTCTTCAGGCTTTATTAACAAATAAACAACAAATCAGTACAAAACCAACAAATAATAAAAATGAAACACAAACGCTACAAGTACCTTTATTATAAACACAGAAGGGAAAGATTTAACGTAACGATGTTAGTTCACACGCAAGTCAAATAGGCAAAAGCATCCACATTTCGCAAAATTGTCAATTTATAGTAGAACATACATATTCACACAGATACATCAAGAGGTCAGTATATCACACTAATAGATATGGTCAGCAACGTATATTTTTTAAAAAGCTTTCATAAGTATGACTCAACGCGTATAGATCTTCTTTCTTATTCATATTATTATCATCTGACACTATATAGAGCATTTCAGAAATCATTCGTTTCTTGTAATTTGGCTCATTGTCCAGTATTTTGATGTCATCCCATTTAAAGGTATGATTGTTGGTAGTTTAATGCAACGATACCACAGATTCAGTTTTGTAATTGTTTTTGTGTTCTCTTCTCCTCTCTTTAAGTGCTCTCTTTGTCTCGCCTGTGTATTTTGCAGGGCAGTTGTTGCACGAAATTTCATATACCACATTGGTATTGTCTAACTTGCTCCATACAGTGTCAGATGATAATAATATAAGTAAGAAAGAAGACCTATACACGTTGAATCATACTTATAAAAGCTTTTTCAAAAATATACGTTGCTGACCACATCTATTAGTGTGATATTCGCTATGCGCCTATGTCAGGTGGCGCCGTCGAGTGAGAGAAATTGTCCCTCGCTAAAATCGCCAGAATGCATGGAGCCTTACAGGAAAACTTTTTAATAAGTTAAAAAAAAGTTTATTAAGAATGGATTGACCAAATGAATCAGTGATTTAAGTGTGTATTATGTTAATGTACCGTAAAAAAGTTTTGGTTGGTGTTGTCATATGTACTACAAGATTGGAAAAAATAAAAACATGGATTGCGACTGTGCTAACACAACATATATATGTGTATACACATGCTTGCACTTGTATGGAGCTTGAGAAACACAAGTACTGCTTACATTTATCTATTTCTCATAACACAGTGTTCAATAATAATTAATACTTATGACAGGTTAGGTTAACTTTTACACATTTATACTACGTTTCCATGGATTACTTCTGTTTTTTTAGCTTTACTCAAGTGTAAGCATGTATATGCACTCAAATATGCTCTGTTCTCATAGTCGCAATCCATATTTTCATTTTTTCCAATCTTGTAGTACACATGGCAACACCAAATGAAATTTATTACTGTACACTAACATAAGACACACTCAAATCACTAATTCATTTGGTCAATTCACTCTTAATGACCTTCTTTTTAATTTATTAAAAAATTTTCCTATAAGACTCCATGCATTCTGGCGATCTTAGCGAGGGACAATTTCTCTCACTCAATGGCGCCACCTGACATAGGCGCATAGCGAATACTGACCTCTTGATGTATCTGTGTGAATATGTGTGTTCTACTATAAATTGAAAATTTTTGCGAAATGTGGATGCTTTTGCCTATTTGACTTGCGTGCGAATGAA